CCAGCAGGATGGTGCCCCCACCTCATTATTCTTTAATACCAAGGGAATCACTGGATAGGGCATTTGGGGAAAGACGTATATGGAGGTCCTATAGAATGGACACCTTACTCTCCTGAATTGAGAGTTCCAGACTTTTTTCTCTAGAGTTATGTCAAGGAAAGATGCTGTAATCCTTTGCTCAAATAGCCTAAAAGATCTTAAGCGAAACATTTGTAATGTCATTGAAGCGATTCGCCAGGAAATTTTACACAAGTCATTCATCCATTTACTGATCCATAAATGTCTGGAACAGAATGTCTAAAATATACATATACAGCATTTTGTATAGTTTTATGCAGTTTTTATTAACTTTTTATTGGGCAAACATAAGTTCCAAGCTTTGTAAATATGCGTTTGCAAAAATACCAAGATTTCGATTTTGATTTTTCACGGCTAAAACTTCAACTTTTAGGGACTATGTCTATTTGTACCTGGATACCTTGAACATTATTCATTTTTTTTGACGTTGTGATATACAGGGTGTTCCGTTAAAAATAGTGGAGAATTTCAATGTTGAAAAACGGATTTTTTTTACTTGCCCTGTATAAAGTTTCAAAAAAATTTGCAACCTACTAGAATAGTTATTTTTGTCATAAGTGCCTAAAATGAAGTTTTTCAGGACGAATCATTGCTGTTTCCGGACGAGGCGTTAGCCGAGTCCGGAATAGCAGATGAGTCCTGAAAAACTTCATTAGGTACGTGTGACAAACACTATTTTTTGTCATACGTTTTTTAGAATTCTTCAGAACGCTAAAATTTGCAAAATTTCCTTAATTTTTGAAATAATAAAGGTGCATCCAGGAAGAAAAAAAATCCTAAAAAGTAGCATTTTACGGACTTGAATGAGTCCGTAAAATAGCTGTTTTTGGGAGCGTATGACAAAAAAAACTTTAGATCAAGAGAAATCGAATGGCGCAAACCGCAGGTAGCTAGCACACCTGGTTTAAAAGTTATAACCATTTAAAATGGTTCACTTTCTGCTGGGATACCCTATCTGCCATCTTATAAATTTTTGCATTACCCATTCTGTTTTTCCATCTGACTGGAAAATTGCGCACATTCTTCCTATTGGTAAAACCAACAATTCCCAGTCTTTTGGTGAGTTAAGACCCATCTCTATCCTACTAATTTTATCAAAAGTTATTGAACGTGCCTTAAAGATACAAATAGTGGACTATGTTGAAAATAATAAATTAATTGATAAGACGCAAGCAGGCTTCAGGGCGGGACATAGCTGTGCAACTGCACTTCTCAATGTTATCGATGATATTTTTGGCGGGATTGATCAAGGTAAATGTACGGTGTTGGTAATGCTTGACTACTCCAAGGCATTCGACACAATTAGTCACCAAATTTTGCCTATCATTTTAATATATCTTGGCTTTGACGTATCATCGGTAAGTTTAATGAATAGTTATTTGTCGGGAAGAAAGCAAAAAGTAGTTCTGAACGGAGTGGAGTCTCATTGTTTAGGAATAAATAGTGGTGTACCCCAAGGTTCCATTTTGGGTCCTATTTTATTCATTCTATATATTGTTAAATTTTTGGATGTTCTGAGATTCTGCAAAGGACAAAAATATGTTGACGACACGCAAATCTATCACGTTTTTGACCCCCTTCAACTTCGACAGGAATGCGCAAATATCAATAGTGACTTGGACAGGATAGATAAAATATCTACAGATCATGCCCTCCTTCTAAATCCAAATAAGTCGGTTGTAATGTTCTTCGGTCGCCCCATTGATGTGAAGCGTTTAACTCCAGAGATCTCAATTCACATTAATAATAATCTTTTGCCTATAAAAACTGAGGCGAAAAATCTTAGTGTTATTGTTGACAATAAGCTTCGCTTTGATAAGCACATCCTTCTGCACTCAAAAGGCTATCGGTCGACTGAAAGGGTTATATAATTCTAGGCATTTTCTCAATCAAAAAGTGAAAATAATGTTGTGTAATTCTCTCGTTTTATTTTTTATTTACCCATTGTGATGTAGTGTACGGCTCTTGTTTAACAGCAGAGACTTCAAAACGCATAGAAAAAATCCAAAAATGCTGTTTGAGATTTAATATGGTACCTGTTAGCCACAAGCTTAGAGTTGCAGGTTGGGTTGACATGAAAACTAGACGCTTGTTTCACAGGACTTGCTTATACCATAAGATAATCAGATATAGATACCCGGAATATCTTTTTGAGAGAATTACATTTAGAACAGATGTAAATAATCTCAATTTAAGGTTTAATAATGTTATTATTCCAAGACATCGATGTGGCATTTTTGAAAGATCTTTCGGTTATGACCTTGCTAAAGTCTATAACGGCCTCTCCCCATCCCTTCGAAACGGCTCGACTCTATCTCTGACGGCAAAAATTAAAAAACTTTATCTTCACTAAGTTTCATGTGTGTTTATTTCTCTCGTAAAGGACCACAGATATTAGGGCGAATCTTTTATCTTTTTTTTTATATATAGGTATTGTATTATCTTTTATTGAAATTAGAATTGAAACTTTTATATTTTATTTTATTTTTCTTTAACAATGGAAACACTATCATGTTTTATACTTTACCTATATTGCGTTTTAGAGAAACTTTATTGATGTAAGTACATTTCTTTGTTTTGCAAAATGTATTATAACTTAATAATTAGTTGTATTATTAATTTGCTATTTTTCGAATGGAAGATTTTAATTTTTAAATCTGAAATTTCATATTTCTAAATAGGGTTATTTAAGAATGAGTTGTTTTTTTTTAAGGATAAGTGTAGAAATCAGCAAGCAGATTCGTCTTGGCGCTGCACTCTTGCCTTTTCTTGTAATTTGAATTACTTGAATAAAGATTACTATTATTATTATTATTATTATTATTATTATTATTATTATTATTATTATAATTATTATTATTATTATTATTTAAAAAAACGGCACATCAGAATAGGGAACTTGCAAGTGAAGTAAAATTTTCCAAATTTGTGTTAAATCGATAGTTTATGCTGCACAATATTCATATGACCAGTTTTTATTTAACTGATACCGCCCTTGTTACACAAAAAATAATATTAAATTTGAAATAAAAATTTTCCCGCCAAAAATGCTGCTATGATGAATACCTGTTTTGACGTCACGATTCTGTAAACAAACTCGTCAATAGGAAAATCTGCGATAGGGAATTTGCACGTAAAAAAAATACAAAAGCAGTCCTTCACAATATTCTTCATCCATTGCGACAATTTTCACAAAAAGCAAACTTTAACACACTTGAATAACACAAAAATAGCACTGCGTCAGCAAGAGTTCGTTTGCTGCGTATTTTATGTTTACAAAATCTCAACGTCACAAGCGCTGTCAAATTGAAATTTCGTGTTTTCGCGCCAAAGTATTTCATTTGAATTTCAATAATTTTTTTTTCATACAACGTATAAATTAAAATGGAAAAAAAGAAAATTATGTTATAACTGATGACTAGAAGTTTCTAAAAAAAAATAATTTGAGAAATATGAAAATTCCCTATTGGTTGAAATTTGGCATTGACCAGGCCCTGCGATCTCTCATTGCCAGTTATGAACCACATAATAACTCTTTTCCGTTTTTCTAGATGTCGCTGACAACCACAGAATTGTCAAAATTGTAAAATACCAGCACATCAAGAACACGTCCGATGTCGATAACTGACATGTCAATATATGACAATTGTGTATGACAATAATATGCCAAAATATGCATTTGATCATAACTAATAATTCATAATGTTTTTTGTTCGCCGGTCTTGCATTTCATCTTTCTTTGTGTTGTCAAGTGTTCTTAAGTGATTTCAAAGTTGTTTTGTGTGTTTCAAGAAGAACTTCAAACTTTATAGATTGAAAGATCTATTTTTATCTTTGTTGATTAGATAAATGACAGGTTCAATTAAACATCAATCTGAACTTTGAATAAATATGTAAAGGATACCCTTAACCATCGATAAAGAAACTGTCTTTTGATCTAATTAACAAATTATCAATTAATTTAAGCAAACATTATTGCCCCAAAGTCTAGAATAAACAAATTTGAACAGACCGACAGTAATGCGAACAGGGCGCCATCTATCATAAAAAGTCCTATGTAAAGTAGGTATCTGTAGCATCGATGCAAAACCAGTAAATAGTGATTTTCCGATATGGTAGATGGCGCTGGCTTGGCTCAATTTTGTTGACAACAAAATTTACACTGAGATTCCATTCTCGACAGTTTATATAGTATTTATCTCTGGCATTGACATTCTTTGATCGATTATCTACAATTCGCTCATTTTAGTTTCTCGATATTCTGCCTTTTTTTAAATTCAAAAATCATGTTCGCAACCACCAAATCAACTAAATGTGTTGGTGGTTGCATATTTGTATGTTTATCAAGCTCGGATCCGTGAAAAGCATATTTTATTGATAACCACGAAAAACTAAAAAAAGCGAATTGTAGTGATTGTAGATAATATATCAAATAATGTTTATGCCAAAGGATTTTGGAAATTATTGCGGATTTTTTGAGATGACTTTAAAACGAATTTTGAAGGTGAAAACAGTTCAAGCAATTTTAAGTAGATGGCGCCACGGCAAAAAAGCTACATTGGGAGCATCATAATTATATATTTGTCTTTCTCTTTCCTTTCCTTTTATTTTGGATAAAAAATAAAATATTGAACCGTATGTGTAGACTGGCGCATTCGTTATTTTCAAAAACTAAATTTAAACATGGCAGCCATTAACGCGGGCCTTAATGATTGACTTAGAAGTTAGCACTTTTAAAAAACGTTACGTCCTTTATCCTTGTGGATCATTCTCACAGATTGAGAGAGGTGTGCAGTAGATAGATAAGATAGCCTAGTCTTCTATAAATTGTCTGCTCTAAATAAACATGAAATTACTGCTAGACAATCATAAGATTTTAATTAGTAGCCACTTTCCTAATATCAATTTTTTTTTCTTTTTAGGAAATTCTCACAAAGAAAAATGCGACCATAAATGATTTACAATACGAACTAGCCAGAGTATCTAAAGCTCATGACGACCTTTTGGTTACTTTCGAGGAGAAAATGAAACTCTATGGTATTCCGATATCAGAACTTGGATTCACACCACTGAAAATGATACCGCAGGGACAAGCTGGACTGGCAAGAGGTCCCGCTGGACTTGTTACCAAAAATAAATGATATCTTTTAATTTAAATTGGATTTTATACACTGATATTATACATTCATATTTTTCCTTTGCATTGTTTTATTAAAGGCGTCTGGATGGACGAACTAATAATTACTTTATACATCATAAAGCCATCAATTTATTTATTAGAGAAGCAAACTCTATACAAAAATCCTCATAAACCTCTAAAAAATTTACGACTCCATTGTGTTGGTGCTTATTTAAGTTTACTTTGCGATTTTTCGCGATAGATCTTTGAAATTTATTGCTTCCAGTGTTTCATTAGGGCCATAAAAGTTAATATAGGTAATGAATTTATGATTTGTGTGCCAGATTTTGCAGTTTAATATTTCTATTAATATTGTGCAATTATTAATTTAGCAAGACAGGTGCATACCATCAAGTATTGTAGATACATACATTGTAAAAAACATGTAAATAAATAATAGCTTAGAACATTTTATGAATTTATAAATTTGAAAAAAATTAAAAAAATGTTTAGCTTGGATAGTCCATATTGCTTGCTTCTCGCAATTTATGCTGATAGATTATGTGTATCATACATAAAACGTTTTTGATTGACTCAATAGAACAGACCGCCATTAAATTATTAATTGATTTATTGTAGCAAAAACGTCAAGCAATAAAACTGAAATAGCGATGAACCTACATTGTTTAAAACTTAGAATTAAAAAAAAAAAGGTGGAAAATAGATATTTACTCCAGCTACGGATCAAAAAAAGTTAAAATTAGATGCATTGCCTCGTGAATGATGGAAATATTTTTTTATAATGTACCTAGTCGTTTAAATTCAAGGAAGTAATTACAGTTATAATAATAATATTCTTAGACAGATATTCATAGATATTCTAGATCTTGATAAGGATTCTTCAAGGATAACATTATGTTAATCCGAAGAAAAAAAAGCTCTTTGTAGTAACTTATTTCAGAAGGCCAGATGTTACTGTATTATTTCAAGCGGCTCGGTAGGTACAGGGTTATTTACGTATCCCGTGCATTAGCTTGCAGGTGAATTAGATATTTAGATGCTATTTCTACTTATCCACCTGCAAACTGGACAACTTCTAATGCACGGGATGCGTAAATAACGGTGTATATCGAGTCTTTTACAGCTGTCGCCACCTCTAGCTCCCCGATTTCCACCTTCTTCTGTCATTCCAATCGCCTCTTGATTCCATGGCCTCTATCACATCCTTCCAGAATCTTGAATCAATTTTAATAATTTTAATTCCTAATTCTACTATTAAATATCTTTGTCTTTCTCGTTTCCGTCTTTGTAGCGGAGTCCACTGCCCTGCCATACTCTTTTGGGGCACATGCATTCTAAGAGACCATACCATAGGAGTCGCTTTCTTTCTATGGTATCTTATTATGGAACCTTGTACATCCATTATTTCTCTGATGGTTTGATTCCTCACGTGGTCTAGCTTAGATATTCTAGAGCCTCGTCTCCGAAAGTCCATTTCTAGGGCTAGTAGGCGTTATTTTGCCGTTGGTTCAGGTCCCAAATTTCCGATCCATAAGTGCTAATACTCTTTACTATTGAGCCGTAAATAATAGGCTTAGTTCTTCTGGTTATATTACTGTTCCAAAGAACGGTATTCATTTGTTTAAAAGTATAAATAGCTCGTTTCCCTTGTTCTATTTTGTTGTTGATATCCCCTAGGCTCTTATACTGTCTGCCGAAATTGTAACGCTCAAATACCTGAATGCCTTACATCCTTTTACAGTGCCACTGTCTATAGCAATATCGTCTAGGTCAGTTTCTTTCACTTTCAAATAGTATGTCTTTGACATATTTATGATTAGGCCATCGTTCATATTTCCATTTGGTTTGCGTAGCATATACTCCGCATCGTCAACATCTCCAGCTATAGCAACTTGGTCGTCGGCCAATGCCCAATACCAGCGTATAGAGAATCTCTTCTCCTATTGGTATGTCCATGCCTCTGCATCTCCTCTTCCAGGATTCAGGAGCCTCTTGCTTGTAGATATATTTTAAAAAAGGTTAGCGCTAAGGTGCAGCCTTGTCGAAGGTTTTTTGTAACTAAAATCTGGTCAGATAGCTGTGGTTGCCTTTTTTTTTTATCATACTTGTGTAGTTGGTATTGGGAAATGGACTAAGAAATAAAAGAACTTGTTAATTATCGATATTCCATATATTTATTGCTTATAATCAAAGTTTAGTTTATTAATTTTTGTTCCACTGATATGAATATCAGTTTATCCAACACGCCACCTCAAAAATTTGATCAATTATACTAAACGTGTAATACAACTTAAACCTAGTATAACATAAATAGGCCTGCTTTCCTTATGTGTGTCTTTTCTGGGGAAAATTACAATAACGGTCCAGCATTTGCTGCTCGGGATTAGGAAAAATCCAGAAAAACCTAATCAAACCATTTAACTTATTCACTAAGCCTAATTCCATTCTAATGTCTTCAAATTTTACTTGCATGAATGGTTTGGTAAACATGTCTGCTAGTTGTTTCTCTGTGGACAAATATTTTATATTAACCTTCCAGCGAGCGCGCTGTCGCAAAATTTACGACAAATGCGCATTATCGCTTTCCCCACTCCAGAAAATACTTGAAGTATCTCACTGGTTGACAACAACCAATCCATCTCTCTTTGGTACAGGATGGCTCAAAACAATTTTGGGTAGGGATCTCGCCACTCGTTGGTTTTGACGTAAAGTCCACTGTCGAGCCAAAATCGAGATAGACAAAAACTCATATTATATTCTGTAATGTTATATTAAACACAAATCCGCGATCGTTAACGTCGCACGCATCCAGCTTTGAGCTATTCCAGAGTCACTGTCTCTCTAAACCATAGACGTATCGGGTGTTCTCAGAAGTTTTTGTAACTCAGTGATATTTGGGAGTTTCCGTGGATCGTAAATTTTACGACACGCGCCTTAGTGTAAGTATATATTATAAAACCTACTTTTTTCTTCTTTTTTTTTTCTTGTTTATGTCGTTTCTTTTGTAGCTAAATGTATGTTTTTCTTTCAGACGTACTTCATTATGGTTTGTAGGCCGCTTACACAAAAAGAAGTAGAAGAAATTGCTGAAGATTTATATGATGAGCCAGAGCAAGATGGTGATACATACATTCCATGTGAGAGTTGGTTCAAGCAGGGCCTTTTTTTGATTCAGTTGGGCCCCAAGGCCCAAGCAAAACTTTGGGCCCCCAATATCCTAAATGATGATACAGCGGTGGCTCGTGGGTTGCGGACATTGGGAGGGGGGGGGAGTGTCATGAGTGAATATTTTTTTGACTGCCTGAAATGTACTGCCAATTCAAGGATGATACACACTACTACTACAAGATGGCCTATCCTCATAAGGCCTCTGTGTGTAACCAATCCCCCCTTCCCCCCCAGCCAAAATACCAGTTGTGACGTAGATAGCATGTTATTTCTCGCCTTGACGGAGGCTGTTTAAACAGCTGATGCCTTAGTTATGACGTCGGCAATGGTAGCACACCAATATGGCGGCAATTACCAAAAACGAGGCGGATGAGCACTCCTTAGAGTGTGTATTCTCCTTGCCGCCAATATACCTATCTATTTTTACCTGGTATGCGCGCGCAGCACGAGGCAACGCCTTTTCATTGGCCAACTAGTACAGGTGTAAGGTGTTCGTTTTGCAAGCTGGATATTTCCTTGACCTTGTTCATTGCCCGTGGTCTGACAAGAATGGAAGTACAGTTGATATTCAACTTGACAAATGACATTCAAAAGTTGTTCAAAATTTTCATTGACAAATACGTTGCACAACACGCGGTCTTTCTCCTTCCTTTTTTATCCCTTGCAAATAAGAAGAACGGATTGTTATACGTAAGTCTAACATAATTTGGTACATTTTGCCTCGTCTTGCGCAATGAGCGAATTCCACCTTTCCACCAATCAGCGGCTTCTATTCAACTGTCATGTCAATATGCGACCTACCTGTATTTTATGACAATTTCCATTTGTCAATCAGTGCGCACTGAGTGTACCCGCATCTTTTTCTAAAATCATGTAAAATATAAGTATAAGAATACACTTTTGTAGCACTGATTCTGGTTTCATTTTCAGAGTTGCCAAGTATGCGATAGTAAAGTGGGGGCGGAGTTAGCGGAATCATTCGAATCCCTACTTCTAGCCGCTTTCACAGCTCACCCCCCCTGGCCCAAAAACATGTAGTCAACCAAAACAAAGCTATTTTATCAATGGGATGTTCTGTCTATCTGTGTTAATAGGTCATTGAATTTTACCGATGGATCCATCATTATATGTCGGTCATTGCGTCATTGTCATTTTTCATTCACTAAACAAAAAAAGCTAACTGATCGATGAAGTCACCGATTAGAATAGAACGAGGGGATTGCTAAACAGCCAATACACATTGACATTGACAGGCCAGCAAATGTTGACGGGAAAATGAATGTTTTCATACTATCGTCCAATTCGTTCATCTCTTTTAATTGAAAACATCAATAAAGAGCGGCATATTTCATACTGAACTTCGTTGACCAGTCAGAAACACTTACTCCGAGGGCAAATACCCCTACCGGCGTTGAACTAAACTGATTGGTCTGAGCTTTCGTTGGCAATGAAAATTGTTAACCGAAAGCTCAGACCAATCAGTTTAGTTCAACGCCGGTAGGGGTATTTGCCCTCGGAGTAGTTGTTTCTGACTGGTCAACGAAGTTCAATTATGCTTGGACAGGGAGCTTCAGTCTATGTCCTTCTGATGAGTCCTAACAAGGACGAAACGCGTCAAGGATTGGCACGGGAAGCCTGAGTCCACTGCTCAGTGGGTCGATTCCCAAACAGGGACCGCTGTGTCCCTGTATCCACGTTGGTCATTACCTGAAGAAAAAAAAAACATATTTCATATTGTTTTCAAGTAGTGAACAGAAATGCCGCAAAAATACTGCTCTCGCCCTTTTGCTGATGCATGTTTTTCAGTCTGTTAGTAACTCTGTAAACTTTTGCCAGAATTAGCTATCGACGTACAGTGGGAATCATTGAAATTGGCACATACTGTGTATACTGTTTTAACGTTCCTCTCAAGTCAAAATTGTAACCAATAAATCTATTTAGTGCAGCGGTGTACTAATATTTTTTCCTCGATTTTTTCCCTTTAACAGTTTATTATAGTTATTTATGTATCAAGGGTACTAAGTAGATGATTATGCCCTGAGGGCGACAGCCTTACAAAGCCGAGGGCCTCTGGCCCGAGGGTTCGTAAGTCGCCCGAGGGTATATATCTATTAGTACCCGTCGTGCATACAAACTTTTATGTCATACCAGGGGGAATTTATTTGAAATCGATGCAACTTTGCGTACACGCAAACGACGTCATTTGTGGCGTAATTGTCAACCTGATGTTTAGAATGGTACATTATGCCCGCGCGGGCCAGAATGTGTACTTTATGCCCGCACGGGCATAAAGTGATGAATTATGTAGATGGTATCTAAGGCATAAAAAGACAATAATGTACTGGTATGACATAATAGTTATTTATGTATCAAGGGTAGTAAGTAAATGATTATGCCCTGAGAGCGACAGTCTTACAAAGCCGAGGGCCTCTGGCCCGAGGGTTCGTAAGTCGCCCGAGGGTATATATCTATTAGTACCCG